TGTCTCGGTTAAAATGAATGTATGCGTAGGTGATGGGTACAGGAATAAAAATTAATAAATAAATAAACGAGCGAATACACTATAGTGGAACACGGCCCCATCATTAAAGACCCTACACTATAAAACAGCTATTCATACCACGGCTTTTTAAAATAAGACGTTAGATGAAAAGCGGTCGAAATAGTGAAACAATCCGAATCATTTTCAATGGTGTCCGTCCTCCTTGGGGCAAAAGATGTCGGTGTAACAAATTTCATTGAAAATATCTCAAGAAATTATGACCTCTAGATTGAATACAAGAAAACAGGACGGACAGGACGAACAATTAAGTTCGGATCGATTTTGAATGAACTTGGAACTGATCGGGGTCCATCTCAAACCCTTCCGCGTATGCACATTCGCACAGGGCCTCAATTATAGTAGATTTAGCAACAAAACTTACATTACTTAAAAGATAAACATTTTCTCATTTTCTTCTTTTATAACCACCGAATAGAGATTGTAAGCATTTGAAGTCAGTCTAACATTCATTAAATGTCTGCACAAACATATTATTTGTATGCGCACATTGTTATCAATTTATTTTTTACTTGCTTGGAATAAATAAAACCAATCATTTATAAAACAATGTTGTTAGCAGTTTACTCGGTTCCATCTTTAATTTCAAGATCAGTTCAAGTTCGTTAATGAACTTTTCCTTAAGGGCTAAAGTAAACCTATTCGAGTTAAAAACTTTAACTAAAATAAAGCCTAACGAATAGGTTAGAGTATGAACTTATAAGGAGTCATGGATAGCAGGAGTGCGCCTTGGATGCTCTTAAGCTTTCGCACCGCCTTAGCTTTGTTATGCTTATGTGTAGGTACCTCCAAGCCAAATATATAACGGAAACTAAAAAGATTTGTCTATCAATGAAGGTCTTTAATAGCACTATTTGGCCCCCTTCGGCTTTCTAAAGCCAAGGGCTCATCTTTCGATCAATCTAAATGCATCAACCTGCAGTTTCTCCCAACGCTCCAGATGTTTGCAATTTTGTGTAGAGCGTACTGCGCCTTTTCTTCCGCCGTAGATTACTTGCAACTTTTTCAGTAATCGATCAGATGGAATGTCATTTGAAATTTAGGCAGACGCAATTTGTCTTAAAATGTAAAGAGAAACTCATCTCCCACAGCACTTTTAGCGACGCAGCAGATGAAATTGTCCTTAATCCAAAACTAACATTTAAACTGAAATTCTGGTCTCTTTCTACACAAAACCATAACTGCCTTCGTTGTCGCCTTTTTTTTTCTCTCATGTAACACAGTGACGATCAGAGTGAAGTGAGAAAAAAGAATGAGAGAGAAAAGTGGCTGCAGCCTAGTGCAGGTGTATGCCCAGTTGGCATATGTTGTACCTTTGCAAACTGAGCATTTATTGTACCCGTGGTCAACGTAAACTCCGCCGCAGTGAGAGTTGAATCCGCGAACACTAACTTGATAGTAAAGATTCTTACCAACTTGGCTACATGTGTAACTGAGATATCCGTTATCGATTAAAGTTATCTTATCCTCCTGGGAAGTGTAAGCAAAATACAGAAAATAATTTTTAAAAAACTACTCTTTGTTGTGCATATAAGCATATACGCAGTTTTTAATTGATGTTTAGGAAACTTTAATAGGCTGTTTAGATAGAGCATGGCGCGACACTGCTGGAATGGTCTCGGAAACCACAAGAAAATGTTCTAAAACTTATGATGTTTTTGTGATGCTTTCATATGTAAATAGTTAAATCCGAGACTTCCCTCAAGTGGTTCTAAATGTTGAACATACAATCACAAAAACTTTACCACATATATTACAGGATTTAAAATAAGCAATAAAAAATAATTGCATATAAATTCATTAAATAAGGCAAAAGAAGAGATAGATGGTTTTATTTATCCCATGCAATAAAAAGAAGCATTTACTTCTTTCATACGCTATGCGCAAAACTCTTTTATTTATCCCACGCATTAACTTCTTTTATACATTTTACATCTAAATGGTGGCAATATATATAAGATTCGCCCTGAAGCGAAAATGATTTTCACACTTTTCTCTTCTGTTAATTTTAGTATTTCACTATTATAATATATTTTATTAATTATACATTTTAAAGTTAAGTGTAAGTATAGTAGTAGTAAAGTGAAACCAATTTACAACTGGAATATGTTGTCATAAATAAATTATTTTTATGTATAATGTTGTTATTACTTCTGAAGTAGCATGAAACATAAATTATGTCTGACATAATATGAAACAAAAAACAAGTAAGAAAATTATATTCGGCTGACACCGAATCTGTTATACTCATTATTATTATCCAAAAAAAAGAACAGACTATAATAAGCAGGGAAAATAAATTTCTATACTTTTCATTGTTGGGTGGGTGCGGCTTATTTTTTCTATTATTGTAAATTCAAAGCAAAAATTTATATCATGTGTATGTCGTAGTTTACGTAAAAACGGGCAAAAACACGCAAAAATCCGAGATGTTCTGAATTTATATTGCACTGTGGGCGTGTCCTTTTTGAACTTCAAGCGGCATGCGACGATTTCTATTGTTTTGCCAAATTTGAAGTAGAAGCTCCATCTTTCCGTCCGCAAGCAAATAGAAGAAAGCTGGACAGAAGGACTGACAATCGCATCCTGAACGATTCAGATGTGATACTAATCAATAATGTATTGAATCTAAAGGGCCACTAAAAAATCTTTCTGTGAGCTGCAAACATTTTGCAACAAGATGAAATTTCTATCTAAAGAGCAGGCGTGGCCACTTTTCTACGTTTTTGTACAGAAAACAAAATTTTTATTGTTGCATTTCCTGTGGTTTATTTTTGCATATAGAATTGGTGTCAGGTTACATGGCATAATGGACGTGTCCCTTAACCGATTTCACCTAATTGCAGCACCAAGTTGCGTGCAAGGACTTCCTATGTTTTTGGCATAGTATTGTAAGCCTTAGCTTTATTTTGGTGGCTGGGACGTTGCACAGACAGACAGACGTACGGACATGCTTAAATTGGTTCAGAATTTAATGCATGAAAACATGTTAATAAAAATTATATATATCCTTAGGCGATGGACCTAATAATGCTTAAAACAACTTAAAAAAAAAAGGTATAAAGACTTTAAAGCTGTGTGCATGCAAAGTCTTTGTTGTACGTAAAGCTTGCATGTATATGCAAAGTTCTTGATGGAAAGCCGACTACGCTTTAAGAGAATCTTTTCTCAAAACCAGGGCAAAAAGTCATAATTGATATTAATTTTTTTTTATATCCCCATTGTAGAAATTATATTAGATTAGTATAAAAGCTAACTGTGCATAGGAAGCATATAGGATTTATACATTGGTTGCAACGCATCGAATACGCATCACAAGTCCCTTAAAGTCGAAATATATATGTGAATGCGACGCGGCAAATAAATTGGTGTAGTTAAGCTTTGTTATTATTTGCCTATGTATATGGCCATTGTATTCATTATTATGATCTCATAACTTTATCAAAATTTTCATATTACGCTAGCTTATGCTTTTTTTTTCATATCTTTCATATCTTGTGTTAAAAAAAACAGACCAATTGTAGTCAAATTACTCCAATACTATAAGTATTGGATTTCTTCTTGACAATATTTGGCTAATATTTTAAGGAATAATCATTTTGATGTGAGGATAATTGAGTTTGAAAGTCTACATTGAAATTTAGATATATGATGCAAGAAGAAATCGATTCACGAAATCACTGCAAACGCTATCGAAATCCCTTACGCGGGAAAATCAGAAAAAAGTTGAGAACGAGCGTTAAGCGATTTCTGGCTCTTGATGGCAACTCGTTTGAATTCTTAAATTAAGTGATGCTCATCGAAATAACTGAAAACATGGCCATTTTGAGTAGCGCCTAAAAGCACTATACCGAAATTACTTTATTGCACAATTGTTTACAAATGATTTAGAAAGCAAGTGCAACGAAACGCTGGATATCTCAAATCTAGTCAACTGCGAACATAGTTCGATTAAATACATAAAAATAAATAAAATATAAATTTATTTATGAAAATAATCATAAAATAATGTAAGATAAGTTCATCTTTTATTTTTTTAGTTCTTTTGTTTTTCTTTTCTTTTTTTTTTTTGTGTGTGGTGTTATTTTTTTTACCGATCGTTCTTATAATTTATTAAAAAGAAAATAAAAATATTTTACAAGAAAGAAAACAAAAAATTATGAATAAATTTTTAATGTATAACTATAACATAGATACATATAAATACAATATGCGTATACTTAGAGAATAGATACTTAGAGTTATGAATACATACAGGTAAATACATAAGAAGGGGCGGGGGAGAATAGTATATAATAGTGGTGGTAGTGTATGAGTTTTTTATTAGAGTTTTTTTTTGTTTTTGCTTTTTCTTAACTTAAATATTACTATTAAACTCTTATTTTAATTACATTTATTTTAGATTATTTTTACGTACGTATTATGAATGCATGTATATGTTGGATGTGTTCTGAATGTATTCATTAATTAATAATTTATAATTATAATCTTCACAGGTATTTTTTTTATTTTTTTGTGTTTCATTCCTTTTTTGCGAAGATCACACTCTACCCTTACACACACACACATAACGTAACATAGCATTAACTATGCATTCAGCATAAAAGTATGCAAAGATTTTATTTATGTGTTCATTTCCTTTCTCATATCTTTTTATCCTGTTTTTTTTTTTTTTAATTTCTTTTTTCTTTTTTTTTTATATCTTTCTCTACATAGCAGTAATATTTGTTCTTTCCAATGTATGGGTTCACTGAAATTTTTAGAAAATTTTTCTTCTTCTTGTTATTGTTGCCTTAATTTACAAAACCGTAAAAATAACTTAAACAAAAAGAAAAAAAAAAACGAATAAAATTTTTATATAAATAAAATTCTTATTAATATTAGAATTTTCTTCTATAGTTGTTGGTTGTTGTTTGTTGTCTGCTGAATGCTTTCTTTTCTTTTTTTTTTTTTCTTTTTTGTTTTGTTTCTTGTTGTATTTGTTGACGCTCGTGTGCCGTTTACTCATCCTCCTCTTCTCTGAAGAGGTAAGTGCTCCAGTATACCAAATTGAAGAGAGCGAAGACCAGAGGAAATGTTATCCGTGAGATAACGTCGATTCTCTTCGATCTAGAACATTGTCTTGAATAAATATTTTAAGGACGTATCGGTTAATAATCGATTGGCTCAAGATTCACTTTTTGATTTGTGAGAAAACAGATTTTTTCATTCATCTCTGTTTTTTGGGTAAAATTTTTGGGTTTTTAGAAATTCATTTCTGCTTTTTTTGTTCTTTTTTATTGTTTTAATCAATTGTTTCGTGTATACGGTTTAAATGGCATTTAATTTGAATTTAATAAACTGTACGGTTAGAAGGAAAGGCAAAATATTTATAAGCGTTTATTGTTGTACAAAAGAACTTGAAAATGTAGCCAAAATAACTATGCAAGCATTCAAAGAAAAAAAAAAAAAAAAAAAAAAGCAAAGTATCGATTATCCATATATGGAAACGAGAAAATAAGATTTTGCAAATCGACAAAATTAATAAAAAAAAAAAAAAAAAATTAAAAAACAAAAAAAAATGTTAAAAACTTTATTGCAAACTATGAATGAAATGGATACAAATTTAGAACAAGAAGATTTTTCAAGCATTTACATATGTAAGTTCTCTTTTCGGTTTCTTTAGTTAAAAGTTGTGGTTGCAATTATATTTTTCTCAAAACATTGAATAAAAGAATTGACAAACGACGTTCACCAACGAAGTAATAACGCGAAATACAATTTTATGAAAATGAAAAAAAAGTAAAAAGACCATAGTGGGCCCGTAAGCCTTGCAGTTACTCATATAAGCGCTTCTTCAAATAAGAGGAAATGATCCAGACTATTGTCAATAGCATTCGTTCATGGGCCAAAACACGTCTGTATACCAAATTTCAAATATTGTGGACGGACGGACGCACAAGATCAATTCGATACTGAAACTGATTCTGAATCGATAAGTATAAGAAAATGTGAACACCGATAGTTCGATACTCTTTTTTTCTTTTGGAGAACGATTTGCAATGCCTCCACAATTTGTAGGAAATCGTTTTCTCAGAAGCATCCGTACATTTTGTATGATCAGTTCAATGATTGTCGAAACTAACTAAGAAGAACATTTTCACTTATTGTTTGCAAAATTTAATATCGAATTGGAGACGGAGTTCCAATGCTTTGATCACTCGATCCAAGTCCTTTTCTCTGGAATTTCAATGTATGTTTTGCACGATCAAATTGAAATATCGATCAATATTTTCCAGGACTAACTATACACAGAGAATTTTTTTTTTTGCAAAACTTCGCTTTTGTTCTTCAGTGCAGCTTACTTTAAGGCTGACATAATCAAGGGTAACAACACTTCCCTAACCATTCAACGCCTTCTTTGTAGCACGATTTGCAACAAGAGTCTCAAAATAGGCGGTAGATTTCCCAATCGTCTCATTCCGTGATAGAAATATTTTTGCCCAGAGGATCTTTTTGAGGGTTGGAAACCATTAGTGGTCGTTGGATAGATGACGAATCTATTTGATAGTTGGAAAGAGATAATTGTCGCTGAATACGATAAAATTCTTTCTTTCTGAAGCATCTGTCAGAGAACTGCAAACAGATATTTGTCGCTGAACACGACTTAAATCTTTTTCCAGAATTATCCTATATGCCAATTGGAATCAGATGATAGAGAGTCGCTGTGGCTAGATCTGGAAAGTACAGTGGATAAGGCAATAAATTACACTGCAGTTCATGCAACTTGGTCATTATAGGCGGTATGTTTGTCTCGCAGTAAGTGAATGTGTTTGGGAAACACATGGCTGTCTCAAGGTAATGAGTAAGCTGCCTTTTGACGACTATGCCTTCCGGCCATACTTTTTGATAGCGCAGAATAATTTTCAAGATACTGTTTGTGTCCACTTTCTCAGGAATAGTTGCTTGTCTTGCGCTTTCATTGCGCCCAGTATTATCGAACCTCGTTCGAATGCCGCCGACCATTAACACATTCCGTGTCTCGAAAGTGGTGAGGTGTGGCAATACTTTCTAAGCCAATCTTAAGTATGAGCGTATCTCCCGTCCATCGCAGAGCTATGTTTAATTAATTAATTACGAAATTTGAATTTTTTTTTCTTTTTGAAAATGAGAAACGTCGAGTACTTAAGATTGCTACAATTCCCCAAAATGATATAAAATTTTTTTAGGAATCAGATCAGGATGAGGGACTTTCTGAAAAGTGAAAGACGCTTTTGTTCATAGAGATATAAACCAGTTACGTTCCAGTCCCGGTAATTATTGATCGACGCACTACATTTATTTAAATATGGGAATTTTATTTTTACTTCGGCATTCCTCGAAGAATTTTAGATGTGAAAAGAGAGTCCACACTTCGACTTCGCTCTGGTTCGATATGATTTTGAGGATTTATCAATTATTGAATGAAGAAAGACTACGATTTACGGGTAATGGACAAAATAATATGAATACTATGCAGTATTGTTCTGTCTTGTTGCAGGCAAACACTGTCATATTCCCATACCAAGAGTACAATTTTGGTTTGAAGAGCATCAGAATATCATCAAACATGCTTCCTCGCTAGCCGTCAACATAATTGAACCGTTGTGGAGAGCTTTAGAGCAGAGAGTAAGGAACAGATTTCGGACAACGTCACGCTGGAAGACAATATGGAGAAGAAGGACAGAAAATTTGTTAACGTTTCTTAAACTTTAAACTGAGCAAATATGTATAACACCGACGTTAAAATTCTCGCAGAGCTGCACACAAATACACAAGCATTTTTTTTTGGGGCAGTTCTGTTAGGAAATAGCGGAGGCACTAAACATCAACCACGTGACAGTTTGGAGTCATTCGAAAAGGGTAGTCTACAAAAAGTATCTCAAAGGAAAACCAAAAAAACCGCAATAGCCTTTTATATCACCCATTATTTTGTGAGATAGTCAGAATACCATATTTTAGCCGGTGTACAAAACATATCCACAACTATGCAGATCAAAGTTTTCAATTTTTTATAAAACTAAGATTCTATAAAAGAAGATAGTGGGGCGACCCATCGCCTAGTAGAATTATTTATATAACGACTAAGGTGTTATATAGGAAGTGGTTAAAAAAGTCATCCGATCGGAACGATTTTCAATAGTGTCCTTGAGATAAAGGTTGCCGGTGTAGCAAATTTCATGGAAATATTTTAAAAATTTTGATCTGTCGGTTGAACAGAAGAAAAGGAAGACAGGATGGACGGATGGACAAGCTTAGCTTGCGTTAGATATCGTTTTCTTGATTAAAAATGATGATGATTCTATGTCTAGCCCTTTAAGTTCTTGCATACCTCGACACATACCTAATGGACCCTTGCACCACATGTGATGTGGGATATAATTAAATAAACAAAACAATTGCCTTTAAAAAAATGAACGCAAGTTCACGCTCGCGAACGTATTTATTAAGGAAGGATTTTATTAAACTTCCACGGTTATAAACAACACCATCTGTTCAATTCAATTACTTTGCTCTATAAGCTCTCACCATTTTATATCATTTCGAAAAAGGTATCGCTCGCGATGACTGAAAACCCAAAGTAAAGCCGGCGGCAGAGATGATTTGCAACCGAGTGGACGACCCGAAATAAAACCTTCTAATCCCTCTATATGCATCTATCGTTCATCACATGCATCAATGGTAGGCATGGAAGCAATTAAGTAGGTCTTACTTATATTAAACTTTTAAATATTAAAAAGTTTTAAATCAATGTCTCTTACGTGGATTATTAAAATTCATCGTTAACGTTGCTATCAAGAAAAAAAAAAAGTTAGAAAGTAAGAGTTGGCCAAACTGGCCGATATATGTGAGTAGGTTAATTAGGTTAGGTAATCCCATGCTGCGCTTTCCTGGTGTTGCGGCTAAAAGCTAAGCGGATTCGATTCAATTATTGCTAAAATTATTGAGAGCACAAATTAGTTCGACTCGTTTTCTAAGAGAGTGTAAATAGGACTGGGGCCGCTACGCAACCATATAAATTGTCACGTATACAACATAGTTTCTTGGAGCTCTGAACAGGCGGAGTTTAGCGTCAAAATCACGCCATCTATGAGAAATGTTACCGTCCCTGGTTAATTGAAAGGCCAGTGCTTATGAGTAATGAAGACGCCAAATAATAGAGAGTTTCAGAGTAGGAGAGGCACTAATATTCACGATAAAGCCTAACACCAAAGGCGGCCCCATTTATGGGGGTATATAGAGGAGTTGTTTGAAACCCATCCGAAGGCTGCTCTCAACGATAATTATTGCAATTTTAACAAAAAATTGTCTTGACAGTTCAAAAATCAGTAAGATCTCGTGACCTGTCAGTATGGAACAACTCAAGCGAAACTCGCTGAGGGAATGTTTGCAGTTTTAAACTGGAATGCCCTACCCTCCCCGTTGTGATTACTAGGGCATATTACTCCTTCCGATTAACACAGATTTCCACAGATGACTGACTGTTTGTTCAAAGTGTCCTTCCATTGCAATTGTGATATCCAAATATGGTTTCGTTTGGGCATAGTGTAAAAAGACGAAGAGTTTTTTCAACATGGAGTTCAGAAATTGTTTGAGTGCTAAAAAAAGCTATTAGTCAGCGATGGACAACCCTTTGATTAATCTATTTACTGAATTTGTTTTAAGATAAATGCAACTCCAGCTCCCAAAAGCCTAAGAAACATTACCTTGGCGCATCCTTATAAACCTGCGTAGCTTTCAATGATTCGTTATGATATATAACAATGAAATTATTAGTACGGATAGCTGGCCTTTATTTAATCTGAGGTCAGCTGGTGAACGTTGTTCATCAAATCTCGTTTGTCAAGAAACCATCAAAAAAAAAAAACAAAAAAAATGGATAAACTTTTTATTAATTTCAAAAAAAAAAAAAAAAAATTAAGCTCATATTTACTCAGGAATAAATTGAATGTATATTCATTATCAAGTGGACATTGGAAAATTGAATTGCAAAACAAGCATACAAGGAAATAACGAGTAAGTAAAACAATTAGAAAAAACGCATTTAAAAAAGAAGCTTTTACATATCGAGCCAACTGAGAAAGAGAGAGAGAGAGAGAGAGAGAGAGAGATAAAGAGAGAGAGAGATAAAGAGAGAGAAAGAGAGAGAGAGAGAGAGAGAGAGAGTAAATATAAGAAAAAAAAAAATCAAATGTAGAGATTTACACAACATCAAAAAGAAAATCCATAACAAGTACACGCAACCAAATCTAGAAATGTCAACAATTCAACAAGCAATCAATTTATAGTACGTGTACGTGTAGCAGCAAAACGATAACGATTGTGAACGTATATCTGTTACCTGGTTGGGAACTTTGATAGCCAAGTCTTGCAGCAATTTGGACGTTTTGGCGGCTGCATATGCACCTCACATTGACGCAATTTTTCCATGGCCATAGGATCACCAGGATGACGTACCAAAGGTTTCTAAGTTTATGTTGTGAATATTTGATGTTCAAATTTTTGTTATCCAATTTTATTTAATAATTTTTTTTTTTTGTTACAATTTTTTACAATTTTTTTTTTTTTTTTTTACCATATAATTGTAATTTGTTTGATACGAATTTGGTGCGGTTGTGACGTAAACATTTTTTTGTTTTGGTTGAGTAATGAATATGCCGATGAAATGATTTGAATGCAATCGAGAGATTTTTTAAGCCAAAGTTATATGACATATATGCAGTTGAAGAAGGAAAAAAAAATAGACAAAAGAGTTCAGGTTATATTAGCAATTTTATGAAATTAATATAAACAATTATCATTAGCGAAAGCAAAGTGGTTAAGCAAAGCCTTGTCATCAACAATGAAAGTTAAGATGCTATCGCATGAAATGACATTTGATTTCAGAACTCATCCTTAGAGTCCTTGAAAAGTTTACACAATCTTTGCCTTTATAAGATAATCATAAGCGTTATTCAGACTATCATAAAAAGATGCTCGGGTTATAGCGAAAATCTGATATACCAATATAATGGCATATAAATAAGCTAAGACATAGTGACAATCAGATTTATTGGTGATCGAAGAGAGTGAAAATCTCTGGCATAGTTCATCTGTGTTAGTAATTGTCTAAGATTCTGGTGATTTAAAGTGATCATGATCTACGATGTTCATAATCAAAGATCTGCGCTACAAATGATCGGAGTTACTTATGATCTGTGATACTGATGATCGGAGATACTAATCATTCAAGATATTAGCGATCTGAATTAGTGCTAACATGGGATGCCTATAAATGTTAACAACCCGAGGTACCGATGATCTGAGATACGTACGGTCTCAGATACTGATCACCTGATACTAAGATAGTAACGTTCTGAAGCATCTGCCGATCTGGCCTGTTGACAATGTAAGATGCTGGTGACAATCTAAAATTCTCATGAGTTAAAATACTGATGATCGGAGGTACTAGTGGTCTGAAAGGTTATTGGCGATCTGAGATATTAATGACTGATAATAGTAACAATCTGAGTCACCGATGATCTGAAATACTAATGGTCTAAAACATCTATTGTCATGGGCAGATGGCCTTGATGTGTGCTACTGACGATATGGGCTACCAATGATGTGACTTATTGATAACGTAACATATCATCATGATGTGAGATATTAATGATCTGAGGTACCTATGATCTAAGACACTAATGATGCAGGATACTGATGATCTAAGCTACTAATGATCTGAAATACTGATGACCCAAAATACTAGTGATCTAAAAGGGTTATGGTCTGAAATACTTATGATCTCATGTATTGGTGGTCTGAGAAACTAAACTGGAACAGATCTGATCTACTGACGATCCGAATTACTAGTTGTCTGAAACATTGCTGGTCTGGGATATGTATGGTCTTAGATTCTGCTGATCTGAGCTATTGCTCATCTAAGATACTCATGATTTAATATATCTATCATCCGAGATATCTGTAATTTAAGATTTTAATAGTTTAAAATACTAATGACCTGAGATAATAATGATTTAAACTACGTGTGATCTCAGATGCGTATAATCTGATATACTAATAGTCTGAGATACTGGTGGTCTGAAATAGCTTTAGGCCGAAATACTTATGAGCTCAGATACTGATTATCTGAAATAGTGACGATCTAAGATGCTAATGATTTGAGAGATTCGTGATCTTAGATACTGGTAGTCTGGGGCATCTATGATCTCCGACACGTACGATCGCAGATGATCTAAGATAGCAATGATGTGACATACTGACAAGCTAACATATTGATGATTTGAGATATACTGAAGATCTGAGACTATGGTCTAACATACTAATGATCTAAGGTACTAATGATCTAAGATTCTAATGATCTAAGATACTGATGAATTGCGATACTTATTGCCTCAGATGCTGATACTGAGATACTTTTGGTCTGACATATTCAGATCATTACAGTATCGGGGCACATAGTCCCGATGGTTTTTCCAAAAATAAAGATAAGAATAGGAAATGAAAGGTGCGGAAAGAAAATGCTACACAATGTAAGAAGAATGCATGCGGAATGAATTTCTCTTTATGACTGCTTTCACGATTCTAGAAGAGAAGGCTTGGGGGAGAAGCGAGGACTGATTTTGGTGCTTGGAAGATTGGTTTTGTAATCAATCTCAAAACATGACAGCTCTTAAGAAGAGCAAATTAAGAGGTGAAGTTCACATCAGTCGGACGCTAATTGGATAAAATATATTAAATTTAAGGAAACCATCTCCATAGCCTTCTACAGTACCAAATAAGTTTGGATTTTATAGGGGGTCTCTGAGTTAGAAAGCTATTTGCTTTTTTCTAGTTCAGGGGCGTGAAAGTTGCATTTGCCTCTAGAAGCTCAGCGTAGATTGGCAAAGGTTTAACCCTACAATGCCATATGGTATATGGAGTGAGAAGGCGTCACACTCAGGGCCACTAAAGGCCAAGGGCTACATGAATACGCTCTGTCCGGAAAGGGCGAGGCTCCTGTGAAACTTTCGCCTTACTATGGACCTTCAGGTCGAGTGAGTACCTTTCCCTCGATTTGAGCCAAACAAAGCCACCTCGACACATACTGAAATGCCTTGAGGTTTACTTGTGGTGGCAAGTGGCTGGGGGTTAGGCCCCACATGAACCAGTAGCAGTGATAAATGAAATTCGGTGAAGAAATTACAACAGTGCACAAAGAGACAATGAACTTAGGCTCTTTATGAACTTTCTCAATGACATGATCAGTAATCTCATGAGTGTTCAAATGTTTTACGCTCATCGCGATAAATAAATAATTAAATGAAATGAATGGAATTAAAAATAAAAAGAGGATAACTCAAAAATGTTGTCTTTTGGAATATACCATTGCGAATGTGGCATTGCTATCGGTATCCAATAGATCTGAAGCAGCATCTAGGCTGGCCTGCTCCAAATCTCGCCGTTTCTTTTTCAAATTTTCCTTATGCATGTCTGCGGCCCGATCCGTATATGTTGCATGTGTGGTAGAAAATGTTTGACAAGAATTTATTTGTTTTACAACAAATTTTGGGTGTTTGAGTTGTTGTTTTGATATTGTTGGTTTTATGTATATTTTGTGTTTTTTATTTAATTTAATTTTTTTTTTTATTATTATTATTATTATTATAATTATTATTGTTGTTATTTTTTGATGATGATGTTGTTATTATAAATTAAACACAATTAGCAGCGGTGTTGTAAAAAAAAAAATAAAGTTAGCGATGATAATAGTAACAGTAATAGTAGTAGTAGTAGTAGTAATGGTAGTAGTAATAGTAGTAGTAGTAATAGTAGCAGTAGTAGTAGTAGTGACGGTAATAGTTGTAATTGAATAATAATATTAGAATGGAAGATGTAGCGCAATACACATATAATTATTCGTGGCAGTGATTAATTTTTATAAAAAAAAATAAAATAATAAAAACGCATAAACGCACAAGTAGCAAATTTTTGAAGATTTTTTTTAGTTTTAATTACATTTTTATACATATATATATAAATACATATATACATACATATATATATATATATATATATACACAATAGTACACAGAAACGTATATAATAATTAAAAAAAAAATAATGAAAATTGTAAATAAAAAGAAAATAAATTTAAAAAAAAAAAATTTTGCAAAAAAAAAACGAATCAAGAATATTTGTGATCACAATTACAGGCCAGAATAAAGTATAAAAATTTTAGATATACGTGGCGGGCACATGACATGATATTTAACGGAAAAAGCACGACAATGACACATATTTTAAAAGATTTAAAGAGAAATTTATTTATTTTTTGTTTAATCAATATTCATAAAAAGCAGAAAAGAAGAATTTAATTTTATTATGCCGACGAAAATAATGGAATAACGCAGTGAGATTCGTTTAGAAAGTGTTTTAATTTAAAAAAACAAAAAATATTTAATAATTAATTAAGTTTGTGCAAAATATCGTCACAAAATTGTAATTGTCAGAGTAATATTTGTTGTTGTTGTTATTATTGTTATTGTTGTGATTTGTTTGGTTGATTGATTGTTATTGTTGTTATTGTTGTACCAGTTGTTTTGTGTTTTTTTGACGCGCGTTTACAACGTCGACGAAAGAAATCACACAAAATAAGAAGGAAAAGGGAAATAAAATCGAAAAAAAATATATTAGTAAAATATCTCAGCAAAAAATTTTATCATTTATTTTATACAATTAAATAATTATTATTTTCTTGTTTTAATAATTACGTGCGAAGCATTATTCAAATCAGGGCTCAAATATATTTGCAGAGAAGAAAAAAACTCGAATTAATTGTTATTCGAAATTTATTGCTTTTTATTTATATTGAATAGAATTTTTCGTTTTATTTATTTATTTATTTTGCTGTTTTCATTTTAAATTTAGTTTAATTTATATCAGTTTTTCTTTCTGTTTCTTTATAATTGAAAATACATTTATGACTTGTAACTAAATTTTTAACTATTTTTGCAGCCTTGAACCTACTTGTGATATAAGGCTTTATTAGATTTGTGCGTGGCTGTAGGTCCAACCTGAAAAGGAGTAGAGGTAGCATCACTTTTTATTACCCCAATCGGTTTTAAAAGTGATTTGTAATTCAGAATCTAAGCCAATCTGTCCGTCTGTCCGTCTCTCCTCCTTGTTGTTTGTGATATTTTAATGAAATTTGGTACATTCGGGCATATGTTGGCCTAAGGACCAGGAGAAATATTAGCATTGTATGGCTATAGCATTGAAAATTTTCATTCAATTGTTTCATTTATTTAATCACATCGTACACCACTGGCAACAACCAGAAGAAGTTGAGACAGGCATAAGTTTTATTATACCGATCGACTCAGATGGGGATTCTCTTCGTCCATTTTATTTCAATTACATCCCTTGTATGCAAAATTATACGTCAGACATCGGAAGTCACAAGGAACCTTTTTCTTTGAAATTTTCGGGCCTTAAAACGACTATTGATGCGAACTGCCAGCTTAGAAAAAGTATGAGAGATGGCCGGCCACAACATGAGAATTCGGCCGTAAGTATTAAAATTAAATATATATATAGTTAGAAAGCCTTTTTCATTAACTCTATGCTAAGGAAGAAGAGGGTATCTTCAAAATATTTATGGCGCCGTGCTTTGCTCTATACCATCCTATGAACGTTCCAGTATATAGACACAAATTTCGAGAACAACATTTAGGGCATTGTCAGCAAATTTTGTAAATCCCCAAAATAGCCGATAGCTTTAAGTTATACAGTTTATATAGTAAGATTCAAGTTATAACAAATTCTGTTAGGGCTTGGCCCCAACAGACGGATAACCTAAATGTGCAACATATTGTGCAAAAACACGCTACAGAGGTCGCTATTATTTTCATTGGATCGTTAAAAAATCAAAAACACCGTTTAGCTTACATAGCTTTTGCTCTTTAATGCAGTCCGTGCCTAATTAATTGTTCGCTTCTATTAGGCAAATTGCTTTGTTAGGCAGAAAAATTCAGGCAATCTTTCGCCCATCTAAGGCAAGCGCTTCGAGAGTTCGATTATACTCTGAAAACTTTTTAACCGGGATTATAGTAAATACACGCATTTTGATTGGCTGCAACGGAATATCGTAACATTCTAAACCTCTATGGAAATTAGCCATGCCATGAACCAATTGGTTGTGCATTACTGATGTTATGTTCGAAGAAGTAAATCACTTACTTGAAATGATCGATCAGAGCAACATCCCGAAAGAAATTTTGAATGATACGATTGTTGGGACATTTTGCATCAAACTAAATGTATGGGATTTGTGATCTAACCTTCGGAATGCGTAGAAATGAAATGCCATCTCTTTACGTATTCAAAATATAATTAAAACAAATTTATGCGAAATATTGAACATAGGAATGAATTCCTATTCGTATAATAAAAGCTACGCTAAAGAAAGATACAATAATAAAAGGTAGTAGAAAGCAAGAAAGATAGCGATAATTAAAGGCAAAGTAATGAAAGATACGTGTGAACAGTGTAACCTGATGCCACGGTAATAAAACGTTTCTCGTAATTTCTTTGGGGAATTAAATATAAAAATTTATATCACGTATAGGCGATTAATTCTGATGTCCGTTCGTCCGTATATTGTTTGAATATCTATCATTTTATATAACTTATAATGGAAAGCTTACAACTTGATCGCAAGAAACTTGTAACCTCCTACAAATATTCCTACTTATATCCTATCCTGACGTATTAAAATTTTATTATATTTTCAATACTTAATTGGACCAAATATGAAGAAGAATCAGAGCAGATAAAATAAATCTGACTCGAATTACTACCAAGGTTATAAATAAGAGAACAAGGTTAATTAAATTTTAAGCCGTGAACATACGGAACGCGCTTTAAAGTGAATAAAATTTCATTTGTTCTCTCTTTATATTATTTAATTTTTTCTTTTGTTATACAATAGCAACAGAATACGTAGCTACAACACTATTAAAACAGAATCTGTTTAAAAAAAAAAAAGGAAAAGAAGCAGAAATAAAAACTCTTTCATTTTTAGACTTTGAGTCAGTACTGTTTACTCTACGTACTGAGAAAACCGAACCGTGTCAAGCCCTGATTTGAATAAAATACAAAAAGAATAATTTTTCTTCTCTTTTGCATAAATTCTATAAAGTATTTCGTTTGTAAAATTTTCTTTTTGTATTTTTAATTTAATTAATTATCCATTTTTTTTTTTTTTGTTCGTGTTCTTGCTTTTATCATTCTTTTAGTTTCATATATCCAGAGAGAAATATTTAAGTGTATCTATCTGTGTTAACGAGTCAACAATATTGTCATCATTATTTGATTTGTCAAATTTTTGTAAATGTTTCTTGTTTATTGAATTTAATCATTTGTCAGAATGAATGTCACATGTTATTGAGTCAATAAATTTGTTAGTTTCATTTTGTTGTTGTTGTTGTTGTCGTTGCTGAATTAATTTCTTGCGTTGTGATAGCTTTGGCGAGATTTATTTATGTAAACGTGCAGATGGGCTTGTTTATATGTAAGCACTTCCGTATGGAAGTCTTCGATCTGTGTGTGAGTGTGTTAGCTCGTTCGTCTGTGTACGTGTGGATGCGTGTGCTTTATATTTGTTGTACTCGTTTATTGTTGTTATTATTATTATTATTATTATAGTTGTGGTTGTTGTTGTTGTTATTATTATTATTATTGGTTTCGCAAGCATTTCATATATATATTAAATTATGTACACATATACATATAAGTATCATATGTATGTACGTTATACATAATACAAGTACAAGAGTGTGAGTGATATTATTAAGTAGTAGTAAGAAAGAAAGTTTCAAAAAAAAGTAAAACACCATTAATTAATACAAATACAATTAATAAGAAGCATATAAAATCTCAATTACTAGGTTTATTCAAACCTGAGCGGGACGCATAGTTGACGAGGGCAAACTCAAGCAATGCACCAAACACGAACGTCAGGCATACGCCGGTCCAAACGTCAATCGCCTTTGTGTATGATACGGGCGGCAGTGAAGCATTTATGCCGGATGTTTGGGTGGCCATTGTTAGGAGTGTGGTGACACCTGAAACGAATTTTATAATTATTATTTAAAACAATACATATTTATTACGTTTTGCGGGGCGGAACAAAACCCAAAAAAACTGCTACACAAAATTTCAATAATTTGCAAGTTTGGAAACGTTTTCTGTGGGTAACAACCGTCAGTTACTCTAGTTATAAAAAATAAATTTATTTTTCTTTCATTTTTAATCCATTAACTTTTAAAAAGAATTGTTCTTTCTTGAATCATTTGCGCTGATTTTCTTCGCATTAACACTGCGTACTTACTGTAAAGTTGAAATTGAAAATATGTTCATCTCTTACTTTTACGCCATAAACTCTTAATAAGATTTCTTTTACAGTTGAGTAGTTTTTTCTGATGTTCGCTATGCTAACACTATTTACTTACTGTAATATTAAAAATGGAAAAGGTTTTTCTCTAATATATACTCGATTGCATAGAGTTCTTTTTCTTTAAGCAATATTTGCTGATTTTGGGGCGTTAACACTGTTTTGCTTACTCTAGTGTTAAAAAGAAAAATATCTTGGTTTGTTGTGTAGTTTTACTCCATCAATTTTTGGGGGGAATCTTTCACAATTGAGAGCTTTTATTTATTAACACTATTTACTTACTTTAGTGTCAAAGATGGAAAATATAATCCAATTATATTTACTTCCATTTAAGTTGATCTTCTCTTTGTCGACACTGTTTATTTATTTAGTATTAAAAACGGGAAGTATAATATTCTTTTCATTGTTATTTTATAAATTTTTGGAAAGATTACTTCTTCTTCTTGAATAATTTACGATGAACATTTCATTATTAACACTCTTTACTTACTGTAGTGTTAAATAACAAACATCTTTTTTAATTATATATACTCCATAAACAATGGAATGGGCTTCTTCTTCGTGAAGTCATTCCTGTTGATCCCTGTATTAATTCATGAGAACATTTTATTTTCGTAGGATAATTTACGCTGAACTTTATATTATTAACACTATTTGCTTACTCTAGTGTTAAACAAGAAAATTGTTTTTTAGTGACGTGTGCTCCATAAGTCTTGTAATGTTCGTCTTCTTCGTTAACTTGTTTCTGTGAATGCTTTCTTTATTAACACCATTCACTTATTTTAACTTAGCTTCTATATCATAAGTTCTTATGTAAGTATAAAGAAAGCTTTTTTTTTGAGACAGATCTTCAATATAATGTATAATGAGCGCGTTGTGTATAAATGTATGAATGTTTTTGCCTAATTGCATTCAATATATGCAACATTATTGTTTGCCTAGAGTGCTGTCTATTAATGATGATCTAGACTTTTATCATCGTTGTAACTTACCCAGTGAAACGCGAGCTGGTACAGCACCTTGATCAAGCCAGAATGACACCCATGAGACAATGACCAACATACAGCATGGAATATAAATTTGGATTAAGTAATATGAGAATTCTCGCTTGAACAGTAGATCGACTTTGAGGCAACTGTATTCACCTATGAGTATATATAAGGTTAAAAAAAATATAACAAAAATAAAATGAAAGATAAAACAGGACTCGAGTATGTTTTCAACCTTGGACACGAGTTGAAAAGAAAACCAAATAAATTGAATAAAAGAAAAATAACAACACAAAGAAAATAAATGAAACTCTCTTGAATAAAAAAGGAAAAAAAATAAATAAATAAAATAAACGTTTTAAGTAAAGTAAAACAAATGAAAAAAAAAAAACCATAAAGTAAAACGAAACCAAATGTAAGTATATATAAAAACTTATGTAACTGAAAATTTCGTCATAGGCAAGTAGAATCATTCATTTCAAGGGTTAATTGCTTTTTTTTGGCATGAATTTGTTGCACAACAATATTAACGGAAATGAATAAACGTACGAGCGAAGACGTATTCGATTTCATTTCCGTTAAATTGTTGCTATTGCGTTCCATACTCTTCAAGACAAAGTTGTTGTTGTTGTTGCTCTTTTTGTTATTGTTATTTAAATATTAAATATTTTTTTCCATCTTTTACTAACACATTCTCATATTTTATAGCTTTGTTCATTTATTCAATTTCTTGTTTGTTTTCCTTTTTTTTGTTGGTTGAAGTTGAAATCGAACGGGACAAAAAAAGGACATACAAAAATGACAGATTTGTCCTTTTTTTTTTTTTTTTGATAGTTTTGTGGCGAATTTATCTCATCAATGCATCTGGCAAATAACTGCAATTACCGTTAGTAACTGTTTGAATTAATTTGTTATCATTGCATTGCATTGTGATGTGTGTATGATGAGTGAGTTGTAAACATTTACACTTCTCAAATATTTCTGTATGTAACATATACATGTATACATCTATAGATATGTGTATATAGATATATGCATGAACACATATAAATTTGCGTACAAGTAACCATATATATATGTCCATATATACAAAAAAATGTACTCATATACACATTTACATATATACATATACAAGTATCCATATTCGTACTTATATACAAAACATATATAAATATAAATATATATATATATATATATATATATATACATATGCATATATACATGTACATATATAAATGGGTTTTTATCGTTTTTATTCTATTTTTGAAAATCTGAAAAATAAAATTCTTGTTAAAATTTTTGCAATTCGTGTAAATTATTAGAAACATTTAACGTAGCATATGTAACGGAAAGTTTTTAATGGCATGTATATATATATATATATAGAGAGAGAGAGAAGGAAAGATATTTGCAGAATTAAGCTTGTAATGTGTAAATGAATTTTTTATATAAACAAAAAGAAAAAAATGATAATTTTTTTTTTTTTTTTAAATTTAATTTAATTAAATAAATAAATACAGAACTAAGTATATATAAGTTATTATTATAGCATTATATGTAAAAGAAGCAGATCTTCAATTATGTGTTTAGATAACTAAAATTTCATGCATATCGTGTGTAATCTTAATGACAACTAATATTAAATTAAACCTTAATTTGAATATTAACCAGTTAATTGTTTTCGACGAGTATACTCGTAATGAAAGAAGCACAAAATTTTGATAATAATAAGAGTAAAAGTCATAACCTTCAAAATATTTTAATATTTCGAAGCCATATCGAAATAACAGTAATTCGGGGAGATAATCCTGACTCAACTCTAATCGAATCGGGAAACATTTTCCGGTATTATTTACATTCAAATATGAAAGTTCATGATACACAAAGGTGTGGATTATTGAAGCTAATATTGGCTAAGTCAGCATGGCCGATTTTTTCCATTTTTACACATAAATAGTAGAGTCTTTCGCAAAGTAAATAGAGAAAATTTCAGGCATCTGTCTTTCATAATTTGTGAATAATGAGCAAAAATTCACAAAGCCGCAACGGTTTTCCCTTCAACTTATGCTTTACTGCAAGCGTATGCTCTGACCAACTTGGCCCATTTTCAATACAAACTTTCGTTCAAAAACTTCCGGTAGTTTTACTTAGTTTGAAATCGATGTCTTCATTTTTGCAAGGACAGCGTCAACAACACAATCAGTACAGACAGACAGACATGATTTAAGCGATTCAGTATTTCACGCTGATCAAGATTGTACGTGCATTGTTTGAAATGTCTCTGAAGCTTTCTTTTTGATTGTGCGAACATTAGGATAAAATGAGTGTACTATCATTTTTCGGTGATGGGTGTAAAAATAAAATTCAATTACAAGTTAATTTCACAGTACACATACTCTGTGCTTAAGAACTATAGTCATTGCTAAATTTTTGCGATTCTTTTTAGATACTTTTTTTCGAAGAAGTCGAAACAGCTAACTGGTTAATGTTAAAACGTATGTAACAAAAGGATTCGATTTTTTAAAGTCATTTAGTGATGCGTACCCAAACTTTTACTTGACTATGTAACGCTTCTTAATGCCAAACTGTCAGCTTTAACAATTCATCGACGTGAAAATATTTGACCAAGATTTGAAAGTTGTTTCGTTGCGAAACATTTAACCTTCACCCCTTCGCCGAATTACGAGTTGCGAAATAGTGAAGAAATATAATTATAAAAAATGCATAATATTGGAATAACTGCATGTATAATAATCTTGTAACATTAAGTGTTGTAACGTTAACTGCCATTTGTGAGATTAGAGATTCATTGTGCGAATGATAAGTTTAACATTCTTAGGTCCAATTTTCTTTTACACATGAAATGGTGTGAGGTTTACTTCAACATTCTTAACTTAGCTAAATGCAAAGGTTTGCACTTCTCGAGAACTCTTGTAAATGTATTTCATTTACGATCAGACATTGAAGACAGTGTCACATATTTACTGCCCTGGTGTAATATTTGATGCCAAAATGTCCTTTAAGAAAGCAATGGCCCCTCTAGGTTTTAATAAGCGATGCTCTAAAAAATTTGACGAGCCTTATATGACCAAAGGCTTTTATATATCACTGGTGAGATCATGTTTAGAAAATGACGCAGTAGTTTTATCTTCTAATCAGTGTTGCTATTCTAAAAAGCTTGAATCACTTTTCGCGTTGCACAATCTTGAAGACGCATGGCTCTCTGCATAGGAAAATGAGCTGCCTGTAATTCGCATACCGTCTCTAGCGAAAAGCAGGTTAGTGCTGAGAGTTTGTTTCCTGAACAAACTTATAGAAGGGAAGATAGATTTCTAAAGGAGATTGACTTTAATGTTCCGGTAAAGGCATCAAGATGCTATTAGTCCGTTAGATTACCTGAACTATGTGCCTTACGCGCCCTTGTGGGTCACATTTAAATACTGTAAAGAGTCGTATTACAAATTCTCTTAAATTTTTGAAAGAAAACTTCTCGGGAACTAATCTAAAGGAGTTGTCATCTGACAATAATATGTGATGCTATATAATGGATACTATGTCCCTCTCTTAAATCCACTTAGGTAGGCTTCGAGGATCTATGATTTTAATGCAAAGAAGTACAGCTACTCTACTTTAAGCTTGGTTGGCATATTTGAGTTTGATTAGTCTCTCTATTAATTTTTCCCTTTATCGTTGTGGTATAGATTTATAGGTCTTTTCCCTTTATTGTTGTGGTACACGTTTTATCCATTAGTGTATCAATTTTAAGTATAATAAGCCGAAATTGTAACCTTTAAGATCCCATGTGGCCTTTTGTGGCTTCATTTTAGCCAACCACAATTATAAAAAAAAAAGGAAAAACTTATTTACAGGAATTTATATTTACAATGCTTTTCCTGGTATTGTTCATTTGGATACTACGATTCAACTCTATGCAACCAATTGATTTTGCCTTCAGCAAGTTCTTTGCTTATATATGCTGTGCTTGCATACCCTTAAAAAAATTACCAACACACAAATATCGTTGTGACATTTTCCTGATAATCTCTGCAACTGTTCTGCAATATTCTGCGAATTGTTGTTAATCTTTCCGTCAACCGCAAGCTGCATTGATAGCTAAACCATTAGAAAAGGGATTTCGGTGTTTTATTTTTGGCAATTATTTGTGATAAAGGGTATATTAAATTTGTGCAAACATATGTAACATGCAGAAGAGGTTGAGATAGACAAGCCTGTCCGTCCCTCTGTCCATTTTACGTCTGCTTATTTGTAAATTTGTTTTCAAGCTACACGTCGCAATTTTTCAGATATTTTGATAAAGTCTGGCACACTGACGTGCTTTGATCCAAGGACGAATGCTGTTGAGAATTGCTTGGATCGGTCCATTTCTTTAAATAGACGAGACCTATTTGAAAAAGCCATTATGTGGAAAATGTTGCAAGTTTCAATATTTGTCGATAAAATTCGGTCCATAATAATACCTGAACATTCTAAATTGGTTGGAAAAATTTGGTTCAGGCGGAGCTATTTTTGGAACGCTCTCTCGTACAACCTGAGTGTTCCTACGAAAACTGAAACTTTCAGAAAATGATTCTGAATCGATCGATATAATAATGGATGGGTCAACCTCAAGCCCTTCTGGTTATTACATGCGCCCGTACAAACTCGATAAACCCTATACCGTAAGTGGTGCGGACTATAAAATTCGTTAAATTAACCTATCAAGAATCTATCTCACCATTCGGATTGAGTAATCAGGATATCATAACTTCTGACATATTGAATCCTATTTTCAATAGTGTTGGTTGCTGTTTTTAGAGTTCCTTAGTAATAGTTTTGTTTCGCTGGAGTGTATGCTATACCCAATTAACTTTTGCCCACACATATAGGAGCGGCATGGATATACTGTTTTATCGTGAATATTAACAAATCGTCGACCGTCTGCTTTTCTATTACTACTTGAGCCAATCTGGACGCGTGATCAACTGTGTAGTGACTCCTATCTTATGGTCAAGCTTCTAATTTGTTTATCTGCCCTCTTTTTATACCACACACTACTTGTGCTGCAAAGTTGCCTTAAATTTGTACGGATGTGAACAATACCCAGAAGGACTTGCGATAGACCCACTTTATATTTTATCTTCTGTCTGCCCGTCTGTCCGCCATGTTTTTTTTTTGTATTTAACCTACAGGCCTCAATATTTGTCATATTTTGATGAAATTTGCTACACTCGCTTGTTTTGGCCTGAGGATAAGTGCTGCTAAAAATAGTCCGGATTAGACTACTTTTTTGGCCATTTCCCATATGAAACCTTATTTTCAAAAGTCGTTACATTAATAACTGCATGAAAAGAAGCAGTGTAGGATATTTAATGTTGGAAAGCGTAGTCCTTTGTGGACGTTTCTTCCTCCCTCCACTGGTTTCCTTATCCGAAAACCGACTTAAGGTTACTAATTCACTCACATATAGTATATAATGCAAGTTCTCTTGAAGTAACTAAGCTCTTCAATCTACACAACTCTAACATCAAGCTTGCACAAAAAAATTCATACCCTATTAAGTTCTCAAGTCGTCCTACCATTAGAAAGGTTTCCTATAACACTTTAATTAACGAATTGCATCTAACTAGAAATATAACATCAACATACACATCTTTTTTGCTCATTACTGTCTGCTTTATTATTTGAAAGTTATATCATTTAGTTGAATTAGTTATTGGATTCCTTAAGTGCGTACCCTAATTTGATAAGAAAATAAAATCAAAAAACTCGAAGAAATATTTTCTACAGATATGCATTATTTTACGGGTTTTTAAATACAAGTATGTATGTATTTTACTTAATGCGCTACATATGGTTTAATGCTATTTATGAGATATTATTATGAATATTATTATTTTAACAAACAACTTTTTCTTTTCGGGGTATATTATTAGATTAGTGTTGGAGTTATTACTTGTGTGCTTGTGTACTTATGTATCTTTTAGCCGAATCAGAAAGGGTTCGAATTTTATTTGTTTTGTTATATTCTTTATTATCATTTTAATAATCTATGTGAAATGGCCGAATACAGGAAGTAGTTCTCATCACATTGATGTATATGTGTATAAAAAAAAAGATATTTCTTTTATGAATTTGTGGCATAGGTGTGTGAGGTTGATTCTAAATTGAAAACAAGCAAAGTAATCACAAAATTCAGATTAATTTCAATTAACATCAAAGAAATATTGAAAAAACATATTAAAAACTAAAGGAAGACAATTCACATTCTCATATATATAATGGATACTGAAGGCAAAAAAAAAGAAGAAGAACAATTAAATATAATCGAATGAAATGATGTAATCTCGTGACAGATTATAATTCAATAATTACCATTCAGAATAAAATTCGGAGGGTAAACCATAAAATAATCACAAATAAAAACAAGTAAGAAAATTAAATTCGCTCGTGACCGAATCTTTTATACCCATCACCGATAACCTAGCACAGACAAGAGAAGTAGAAGAACAAAATTTTCATGCTCTGTAATATGAGGAGAACACGATCGACTTTTCCCATTTTCAAAATAAAAATCTTTCTTGCCTAGGCGAAGTGAGCGTCGTAGGCGTGTCCTCGGAAAAGTTTAGGTCAATTCAAAAATCTTGTGGAAATTTGTAGGCGATAAAATCATTTTCGCTCACTAGAGAATGTTTACCACAAATATTACACCGTTGCGCAAACAGGCCAATTGGACAGAGGAACAGAGAGACATGTTTTCCAAATTTAAGGCTGACTAAGAATTTAAATACTTTATGGTGGTTGTGATATTGAGATATTGAAAAAACAATAAATTTTGATAACATGTATATACGTTCGAATTTTTGTACGTTTATTTGCCTCAGTTTATGAGTAAGAAAAAAAAAACAATTTTTTGGAAAAATGGAGGTCTTCTCAGTTTACATGATACGGTGGGCGTGTCCTTCGACCGAAATGACTCATTTTCAACACAATCCTGCGTACAAGAGCTTTCATTGTTTCCGCCAAATTTTAAGTTGTTAGCTTTATTTTTGCGGCCAGGAAAAAGGTTTACAACAGACTTTCCACAGACGGACAGACGAACATGCTTAAATCGTTTTAGGATTTGATGCTAATCAAGATTTATGGAATTTCCGATGCTTCCTTCTTTCTGGGCGTTGCAAACGTTTTGCCAAATGAATATACCCCTCATCCTTCGGCGATGCGTATAATAAATCAAAAAAGGTATTATACTCAGCTTAGGTCGAATTTCTTCTATACCCATCACTAGTTAGTTGTAGCTTGTGTACGATAAGTGACAGCCTGAATTTTTTTTTTTTTACTTGATCTGTCGATTTTATTTTAAGACGTATTTTGAATCGTTTTGTTAGTCACCCTGTATAAATAATTGTACAAATTAAAGGCCCTTCAATTTGTATCTAGCGTTGGCGTCCGATGCACAAATTTAGTTAAAAGAAAAGCAAAGCCCACAATAGAGCTCTAGGGTTTCGAAACTCTATATTTAAAGAAAGAGTGAAAGACGTCAGTTTTTTGATAATTTTGAGGCGTTGCAAAGAGCCACTTGTCAGATTTTCGAGTTTAATTTGTGAATGAGTGAGTAGCCGTGAGTTCAGCAAACACAGGCTTCGATCGATAGACATGTCTGAATCGTTATAAGTTATGTCCGATAGGCAGTTTGAGAAGTTTACTTTCTTACGAAAGAGACTTCGCTCTTCATGTTCATTAGGAGTATACAATCTTTAAAAGATCCAAAGACCAAATTTTTGGTACCTAAGGATGTGCCTCTTTGCTGATTTGAAAAGAGCTTTAGGAAGGAATTTCAAAAGGAGTTTATTCCAATACATATATAGATTCCGCATTTCCTTTACATTAAGGTAATCAGGTATTCTTCGTAATCTGAGCAATTTCTTATTAGCGAGACGTATTTCTTTTTAAACGGTAGCGTTATTCAAAAATATTGCATCTCCTCTGATGAGTGTTTCAGTGTATTAGAAAAATTTTTCAATGAAATTATAGTTTAGTTTTTGTCATATGAACGGACAAACAAACATCGCTAAAGCATACCGGCAGTTAAGCTGATCAAAAATACTTACACTTTACGGTATCTTCCAAGCCTTTGCGATGCTTTCTAATTCTTTACATTTGTTGTTGCAATTGTAATCGGATCTTTAGCACACATACATTGCTAACTCCCAAAAATACATACACTTTATGATATTTTCGAAGTTCATTTCGAATTTTACGTTGGTTTATAAATGTAGCTAAAGTTGTAATTTCGCTTTAGCTTACAGACACCAAACTAGCTAAACGAATCCGGTACTTGCGGCGACCAAAAATGCGTATGCTTTACAGTATCTACGAGGACTATTCGATACTTTATAAAGCTTGGTATTTCGTAAAAAGTCCAGTACTCAAAGTAATCAAGACGTCACCGTGTTTTCAAGTCATAATCGATGGTTTATAATGCTTTATATAAATAGTTAAAGTTGCGAACACGCTTTTAGCATACAGATAGACGGACAAAAGTGGCGAAATTAAGCCGGTATTCACGCCAATCTAAAATACGTATACTTTAATATAGCTTCAAGGCTTATATGGTGCTTTATAATGCCTCACATGTGCATATGTAAGTATAGACGGACAGACGTACATAACCGATCTGATAATTTCGCTGAGAAAAACTTTACTGCAAACTTCGGAACATATTTGATGATTTACAATGCTTTTTAACATATGGACAGACGGACCAACATGGCTACAATAATTCAGTAGTTTCGCCTTGAAAAGTGTCTTTGCTTGGCTGTATCTTCGAGGACTTTTTGGTGATTTACAACACTTTGCATTTGTAGTTGAAACTATAATCGCGTTTTCAACGTAAAGACAGACAGAAAAACATAGCCAAATCAAACCGGTACTCACATCGATCAAAAAAACGTATACTTTACCGTAGCTACGATTTGATGGTTTATAATGCTTTCCAAATTGTCGTTGAAGTTGTGATCGTGGATTTGTGCATACAGACAGACGGACGAAAATGGCTGGACTTATCTCGATTGCTCATGCCAATCGAGAATATCTATATCTAAAGCCTACTCAATACTTTGAGATACTTCACATATACATAGATAAAGCCGGGCAGACATGCAGGGCTAAAAAAAAAAAGCGGCACTTTTGCTAAGCAAAACACGGCAAGCTCTTCGACGCTCTTCAATCCTTAAGAATTTATAAATTTCAACACAAAGGCGGACGGAAGCACGAACTATTCTTGCAGAACAAGGATATATATGTACGATATATATATGTTCTATTGCGTTATTAAAGTTTATTTTTCCTATGATGGGTATAAATAAAAATCAAAATGACAAATAAAAGACAAAAATGAAAAAAATTATCATGGAAACCAACTTACTTCCAACGGATCTCTTAAACACATAAATATAACATTTTTGATTACAGAGTGACAATAACGAGACAAATAAAGTCATACCCGTATTAGTTTTACTGTTGCAATAATCAGTCAAGAATTTTTCCAATGTGAAGCGAGGTAGGTGTAAATTTTTAACCACTTGCACTGGATCACCTTCTTTCCAAAGGAAGACCAAATCGTTTGTTGTCCAACCGTCTAAGAGGGCGAAAAAAAAGCAAAACAAATGTGAATAATAAAAAAAAAATTTTTTTTTAAATTTTATTAATTAAATTAACTTTGATTTTTCCCTTTGAACATATATTTCACTTCAAATCAATAAATATACTTACAACTGGCCATACGTAATGAACAAATCTGACGATCCAAAGGATATAATTTCAAATTCATGGGACAAGCCAATGTTAATGATATACGAATACTATAAAGAACCGAGCCATTGGGAAAAATGCGTATATAAACATTAGGCATAATGATGTTATGAAAGTGACCCTCTTTCTCATTCGAAAAGAACAGATCCGGCATCCAAACACGATTCGCTTCAGTCAGTGTCAAATATTTGAGACGACCTTTAAGACAATAACTTTTTTTGTTTCACTTCACATATTCCGCATAAAATTTTTTAACTTACCCTGTATATCATCGAATTTTAAACGTTCATCTGTCCATTGTTCACGGAAAGTTAACTGTACACTATACTCCTACATTTCGATAAGATTTCGTAGAAGTTTTTTTTTTTTTTTGATATTGATTGTTTTGGATTAAAAACGCGCCAAAAAAACAAAAAAAAACAAAAACCATAAAAATTTATCGGATTAATATTGATAATGAATTGATTTTCAATTATAAGAAAATGTATTCGTATGTATGTAGGGCATGTATTAAATAAAATGGATATATATGTATGCATGTATGTATATATATATTTATGAGAAAAAGAGAGATAGAGAGAACGAGAGCGAAATAGAGATATAGAGATAAAGCGAGCAAAAGAGTCTACTCTCAATATTTTTACTGTTATTGTTATGATAACGGAACAGGTTAGAATTTTGCAAAAATTCAAGTTCAGCAGAAAACGCCGACGAAAAAAATCATCCAGAGATATATGAACGATCATCAATCAAATTCTTTAAGGGATAACATCAATGTCTTAACGGCCTAAAAAAAAAAAGTGTATTTTTGAAAAATTTCTTCGGATTGCACGAAAAGATGTATAGAAAACTAATAATCGATGAAGTTATTATGAATATATTTAGAATGTTTTGTCCGTTTTTTTTTTTTTTTTTTTTTTTGTTATATGACCAATCGGTCAGGTGATGGCCTCTACAAATTTATTACGGCTATGATCAAAAAAACGCAACAAAAGGGAGATAATAACGGACCGAAGACTGGAAGGTATGTATCCGATCGATAAGAGTTACACTTTACTTTTTAAGTGTTGTACCTCTACCCGTTCGGTAAGAGTTAAGTCGTTACCGATCAAGCAGTTCTGTAGCTAAAGGACCGCGCACAAATCACAATTAAAGCATGAGCTATCGTGCTGATGGTTGAACCCAAGTAAGCGGACTTTATAGTCGCGCTTCTTATCTTACTACGCTATGAGGTAGATATTGAGAAAAAAAAATAATTTTCAAAAAAAATACCACTTAATAAATTCTCGTGAAGTACTTGTAATCTAAGGGAGTCTGGTCTAAGCTTGTCTGTCCGTCCGTCTACCTTGTTTTCTTGTGTTCAAGCCACAGGCTGATGAAGTTCGGGACATTGACATATTTTGGCCTAAGTAACACAAGAATTCCACGGCAGGAACTCAACGGTAAGATTTTAACCTAGAAGTACCCATCGAGAATTTAAAAGTAAGACATAAGCGTAGAAATTCGCTGCTGGAAATCAAAGGTAAGACATTAGTCTAGAAATCCCCACCAGGTATTCAAAGGTTAGACATTAGCCTAGAAGTTTCTTGCAGATATCGAAAGGTAGGACATTAACCTATAACTTCCCAGCAAGAATTCAATCTAATTCACTTAGCCTATTCTGAGAAAGTCGATATTTTAAGTCAAGAGTTCCTTTTGAATAATGAACTTTTTATCACATACCCTAGAATGTTCAATGCATCTATTAATTCTGTTTGTTTTGGAAATTTTTATAATAGTGTTATCCCTTAAAAATTGCTAGAATAAAAGGATCTCTGGTATAAATTATCGAAAGCACGTTTCTGTGGAACTTTATGTATTATATGACATTTCTCCAATTTCTATTCGATTGTTATCGCCTTAAAATGCAAAGAGTTTTCTTGTTTTTTAATTTTGGAATGATTTCATGGAATTTTGATTTACGAAAATTTATGAATATATGAAGTTTAAGGATTGATTTTGAATCTGATAAATATGTTTGAAAAATTGGAAAAAATATTTGAACCTATAAAATTGATTTTTCCAATAATTTTATTGATTGCGTTGATGGGAGGGCGGGACCCAATTGAATGGTTCAAGTTCCCTAAACTAAATAAAAGCATTCAAGAATTTCAAAAAGATATACACCATTTTAAGATGTCAAGCAAAAAGCATAAGCACAAGCATAAGCACAAGCATAAGAACAAGCACAAAAACAAGCAGAAGCATAAACATAATCATAAGCACAAGCAGTTCGAAATCCTCTAAGAGCATTGACTTTGTAAAAAAAAAAAAGAAAAAATACTTAGCCATATGTACATTTTAGAGCCATGCTTTAAAGCCGACATGCATACCTTTGTTTTCATCACATAATTCGTAATAAAATTTCATAAGCGTTTTTCTCTGTACACATAATTTCAATAGCAATTTTTTTATAGCACCCACGAAAGCTTGTAACGTTATCAGATTCGTTTTGCGCAGCTATACATCGGTATATACATCAGTTTGTTTTTCTTAGGTTATAGAAACATCTCGTCTAACATCACTTCTTCATTAGAGTAAAAAAAATTTGTCGCTAGAAACCTAGGTAGGGGCAATGAGAACTATATCGCATTTGCATAATTCTTGATAGATCTGCCGAGGTATGTAACATTAGCACAGAAGCGATGCTTAAAAGCATTAAGAAAATCACTTTCTAGAAGACTGGGTCGGCTGCCGTAGAGGCATACGAGACATAGAGCAGCCCTGCTGAGAGATCCAGAAACATATCGTACCTGCTACAATCGGTGGTCTCTCTTTTGTTATTAGGCTTTTTGATAAATCTACTGTGTCTGAAAAATCTTTATCTGATGTTAGTAAAGAGGTGATCGGTGGGCCACATCGTCCCTGCACTATTCCAGACGAGAGCGTTGAAAGATTTTCAGTCTTACAAGTTCCTGGTACTTTCTTCGCTGTCTTCCTGTTTAAAAATTTCCTTAAAGTTGGAAGTCGTTCTATACTTTTTCACAGCTTTTTTGACCTTTCTTTATGAATTCGATTGATTTTTACATCTTAAGAACTCATATAGGAAATAATAGCACTTTCAAGTGTGCTTTCATTCGTACCGTCTAAAATATATCAAAAGTGATTCGGATAAATGTCTTGCACAATTTTTCTACCAGAGTTGTATTTTGGGAGTTGTATTCGAAGCCTTCTATGCCGATAGGACCGATTTCTTTTACAAATGCTTTTGGTGGTGCGTATGAAAAAGTCACCCTAGGGCGATTATTTCTTTTATAAAAAGCGATTAAGCAAACAAATGATTCATATCTGTACATTTATGGATTATATCAATACCAATGCATTAAATTCATTAAACATTCGACATTTCATATAAAATTAAAAAAAAAATATTAAAAATAAAAAGTAAAGAAAAAAAATTAACCTTAAAAACTTTTTTCCATTTGCGGAAGTATTATATTTTGGCAGTCGGATAAATTCGCATTAATTGAAAACATAAAGGATTATTTTTTGTTAACAGATTATCATCTCATAGAGCATCCGTTAGCAAAATTTCCAAGAATTCCCATAACGGTTTTCTAAATTAAAGCAAAACGTTTATGCCGTTACAAGGCTTGCACAAACATCGCACGCAGTTTTTCAACACACATCTATGAAAAAACACTCAACAGTCGTTATATTATATTGAGGGCAAAGAGTCGTTTAGGGGAGAGAGGCTTAGTCAGTAAAGTCTCCAATTTAGTCTTTAGACGTTTTCTCCTAACTCAAAGAAAAAGGCTAATAGAAAGTGGGCACATTTTAAAAATTATTGATTAAAATCAATTATAAGGTCAAAGGCAAAGTCTATTCATACAACTTAAGCAAAGGTGACAAAGGGTTGAATAGGGAAAAGGAAATATATCAAATTTTCACAAAAAATTTTGTTTACTTAATCATCAATATTTAGTTCACTCTCTTTCTATACCCACGATCGGACAACTGGGGCATATTCACCTTACCAAAGCGGTCGAGACTTCCAGAAAGAAGCTTCAATGGTCTTATGAATTAAATTTTAAACCACTATTAGCGTATACAGCTGTCTCCAGATGAAGAAAAAAACTTGTCGGCTCAAAACTTAGAAACTCGCAAATTAGTTTTGTTATTTTTTTTTTTTTTTTTTGGCCTTTGATGTGACCAATCCCCCAGGGATGCACCCTATACGTGCAACATGGTGGACAGGGGGAAATAAGTTGGGAAAGAGAAGCAGGTAGGAAGTGTCCGTTGCCTAGTCAGCGTGCTGTGCGTTTTACCGACTGAGTATTGAGTACTTGCTGTAACTACGATCGCATAAATGATCAAATCTCATTGGAATTTCAATCCCCGAATATCGGCTTGGACTCCCAATTACTTGGAGTCGGGCAAGTTCTTTTAAAGCACCCTCAGTACAACATTATTTGAGATGATCTCTCTAGTCAAAAGCAAAAAAGGAGCCGCTTTTCAGACATTACTCATAGAATGGGAGAGATATAACGATTAACATTTCCCCATACACGCTAGATGTAACACACCAATACTTGTAAAAAGCACGTCCACTCAATATTGTTTAACCTCGAAATTCGTTCTTTTGGTTTTTTTAAGCAAAGAGAATACTACGCCATCAATTAATATAAGTTTCTTACTTGCTTCAGATGAAGGTGGTGGGTATAAAAGATTCGAACCATAATTTCTCTACTTACAGTCTACAGTTCACGGAAAGGGTCACCAAAGGCTTCTCTGCGTATCGTTAGGCTAATAAATTCGTCTTTGTCTTTTTATTTCCTACAGCATGCGCTATAAAAGGAATATTGATATTTGCAGTATCTTGAAGGATCGGCGATGGACCCACGTTTTATTATACCGGTCGATTCAGAATCGACGTAAGCTTGTCTGTCCGTCTTATTTTTTTCTGTTCAACCTACAAGCCGAAATTTTTCAAACATAATGCGTGTTAGCTCGGAGACGAACGCAACTGAAAACTGTTCGCATCGCATCTGAAATGTAGCATAGTGTAGTTGTGTAGTGTTTTTACTTATATTTGTTTCCTTTAGTCTTTTTAGCCGTTTTGCGTTTAGTGCTCTTTATTTGGATTTCATTACGAATTTGTGCAAACTTTAAAAGGAAAAACTTTTTTTTTTTCAAAATTTATTTATTTCATATTTTTCCAACGAACGAAAGATGTTGTCCTTCCAGTGTTCACAGGCATTTATTTTGAGAGATAAAATTGATTCCTTGAAAATGCTGTAAATATCATTGACGTTCGGGATAAACCACGCTATCAAACGTTTCAAATGCAA